GCTCGTTATCTCTCCCTTTCTTTTTCGGTAAGTTATTGCATAAATCACGTAGATTCTTTTTTATTTGTGTAAAGTATGCATTTAAGGTCTTTATGTTTTTTTTTCTCAAAAGACGGTGTGAAACGCTTGTCACGAACATTGTTGTATATCTGAATTGAATTGAACTTGGTGGTTTGACGAACATTCTTGTATTTTTGATTTGAAATGAAATTGGTGGGTTCATTTTTGTTGCTGAACGACTCGAATAAAATATATTAAGATTCAAAATCTATACATTCTACAAAACTCTCTAATCGCAAAAAAATTCCACGCTGCAACAGACGAAAACAAAAAAATGAACCACCTTCAAAGTTTATGTGTCATAATAATGGATATGTTTAAGCGCAAATCGTTTGGACCATATCGGCCGCGTGGCCTAATGGTTGAAGGCATCAGACTTCGATCATTCGGAGGTAATCTGGGGATTGTGGGTTCGAGTCCCATCGTGGTCGATCCAAACAATTTTATCAATCATTTTTCACTTTTTGGTCGCGTGTCCTTTTTCCCTGCCAGCAACACCATGTTCTCACCTTTCTGCGGCGCAATGACGTGAAATAGTAACAAAAACCTCAAGGGGGTTTGCGTGTATTCAGATCTGAATCTTACCTACTTTACATTTTCTCGTGATCAATACTTTTAGCCATTATTGACTCAATTTGTTGCTTGAGACTTAATCATGGACAGCATGCGCCCCTTCGCGCCTTCCGCGCTCGAGAGCGCTGGCCAGCTCTCCTTGAATATTTTTGTCGTTGTGCATGGGTCACTTTGAAGATTTTCCGTATGTGCAAGGAGGGGGGGAGGGGTGAAGTCAATGGTCAGATTTGCAAAAGATTCTTTCCTTCAGCATTTCGGGTATAAGGTCTACTTCAGGGATTCCCCCAGCACATGTTCTTTATTAACAATCAGTCCATACAATGCTCCCAAAACTTGTAAATTTCCCTCAACTTTAATGTTTATATTTTGTGATGTAGTTCACATAAAGTAATGTTACTTTTTTAAATGAAGGATGGGAAGGTTTGGCGAATAACGTGTGTGTTAGAATCATGTAAAATGCTGAAATAGAAAAAAATCCCTCCTTACCTGAACAAGCTGCCAAGACCATTGCCCAGAAGAAGGAAACAACATCAGCAGTGCATCCAATCGCGGGAACACCTGGCTGGGTGTTTCGGACAGCAGGCAGCGCAAACCTACAGGAATTTTTTTTTTTCGCGTTCCGAAGTGATAGTGAGAACCATCACAAAAATTGAAAAAAGAAAACGTTTCAAAAAAGCAAACTGAAATGCCATTAAAAATATACTCACAATAAACTAATTGAAACAGCTAACGTCGGTGGCTCAACTTTTCGATCTCGTGTCCAGAGTGTTGTGGCTAGCGTGATACTCCAGATTGAAAGTGCCCACATGATTACCATGATCAAAACCGAAAAGAACTACTCCAGAACAAAAGAAATGGAAGCATTAGAGAATTGAAAGGCCGTTGACCAAAATGCAACCATTCACCTGAGTTGTCCCAGAACGACTATATTTCAATTGCAGTTCCAAAGTTGCCCCGTCATTATCAAGATCGCTCAGTTTTGGAACTTCAACATTCCAACTACATATTTAACAAAAAAGAACAATCGGTTGGAATGAAAAACACATTAAAAGAAAGTCAACAAATGGACTCAGGTGATCAGAGACAAATACAACTAACGTTTGAAGATTCCCCTCAAAGACCATACTAATCGGCGCTGTTTCAACAGTCGATTTGTTTCCACTCAACATTACGTATGTAGCTGTAACTTGAAGCAAGTCACTCATGTAGTGTTCGAATGGGTACGAATTGACATCTAGAGTCATGGGCCAACGAATACTATCGTTAATACGCGATACACAAAAGGTTGGCTGAAAACCCAAAGCCAAAACAGACCTCCAGTTACCAATGAAAATGTGAGTTCTTGTGGTTGCATGACGGTGTTTGCCGGAAACGTCACACTCTTTGTCGGAAAGCTAATCGTGACAGGATACTTGAGTGCGAAAAGTCCCAGATTGGTTCCCACAACCCGCCCAACAAAGTCCCCTTGTGGCATAAAGTTCATAAAAAGTTTTATTGTTTTTGCTACTGGATC